TGGATGACAGGTAAGCTGTCAATTTTCAATGCAAATTTATATTATTATGATGGAGAATGTTAGCCATAAGATATAGAGTTTGATTTTCGGACGAGAGAGAAGATGTGGCATTTGAAACATCAACTAATAGTTAGTGACTGGGAAAGAAAAAAGAATTCGGAGCAATGGCCTATTTCTGGGTTATTAGTAGTGATATCGGATGGGTGATAACAGCACATCACCAACATAGTGAAGTGGAATGGTTATGAAAGCAGTTGGACTCCTTTGTCGTATGTCACTTGATAATAGATTTTTTTTACCTGACCGTGTACAACGTCTAGTATATTTTGAACATAATGACCAATGGAAACATCACATTAATTTATTCATTTGTAACAATTTGTGAACAAAACAGAAAGGATTTTATTGTACACGGGTCAGGGGAGCGTCCAACATAACTACAACACCGTTTTTTTCAACTTTGATGTTTGCCCGCGTTTTCATAACCAGTCTCCTCTACTAACAATGTCACCAAGAAACAACCAATTTTTCAATGCTCCAAAAACCGACCGTGCAGTTATCATCATTTGGAAATCAAGTTAAGTTTGGAAAGTACTAGTTGTTATATTTCTTTAGAGTCTTTAAAAGTCTTAATCATAGCTCTTTTCATCTTTATAAACCCTTCATATTTCTTTGTTTTTTTTAGCGATGCTTGGCGAAGACGACGTCGTCGTCGAAGGAACGGATTGCAGATGGACGACGGTGATGTAAACCTTGCCGACCTCAAAAAGGATACTTACCCGGACGAGGTACCGGACAGTTTAATTCCCGGGACTCAGGGTGTTGAGCTGTTAGAAGATGAAGAAGATTATGATGTTCATCCAAAACACGCTCGCGTTTAATGATTGAGAAGTGGATTATCGCGCTGTTGAAATGCCTCGTTATTATAAGATTGCAACGAACTAACCGCCTACAATTTATCTGACAAATGTAAAAAAAGTAATAAATGAAGCTCTCTATTGAATTATATGTACTGTGATGTATAATTTTTTTTTAGCGCGATTTCTTTGAAGTATTTCTGGTGAATCTATTCTCCGCGAGAATGTTTCCTCTATCAGTTGCAGCTTTCATCTCTTTTATGGATGAAGGTCCTAAATTCCAGATCGCTTTACTAAAACGAAGATTTTTTTTATAGTAAAACCGGTTTTGCCCCCCCACCCCCTTTTTTATCGCTTGTTTTTCATAAATCAGGTGACTAAAACTGCAGGATTTGTATTGTGGGCGTTGTTATATGATAGATCTCGCATTATTATCAACTTGTCGGACATTTTGCCGCATTATTCGGGCTAAACTGGACAATTTGGCGGGAAATAAACCAATGAAAAGAGGCGATAAAACAGCCATACGATGTAAGCAGCCAATCAAAATCGAAAAGCCATTGCTGAAACATGATGTTCGCGCCGCCGTTGTTTTGCAACGTTAGTCGAAGAAATCGTGTCACGCTGCCATTTTCACCGCACAGCTCAAATCATGGCTGAAAGCACAGAAAACAACAAACAATCTGCAAATTCTTCATCTCCTCAGACAGAGGAAGAAGAACTACAAAAGTTAGAGAAGCTTTCAATGTAATGTAACGCCTTTAGTACTGACGACATAGTCGCCGACGAAGTGCGTGTATTAAAGTTTTATTCAAGCCAAACGCACTCAGGTCTACCAATTATGCCGAAGTGTTAGTTTGACATTTTTACACAACACTTACAAATAAGTTTTAATTTCATGTTTATTATAGTTTTTAAAAATTCAAATGACACCATATGTTCACTCATTTCTAGCCAGTTTCGGGCAAAAAAATAAAAGGCCATCCAACGTGTAAATGCACGCTGATTTCATTCAGACTGTCTTCACTTTCTCAATGCCCTCCAAGAACGGGAGCGGTGAAAAAATAACAAAAGGACTAATTAACAAAAAAAGGTCTGGCGTTATTACCAAAATTTCTCGGATGGGTAGTCTTAGGTATGCGGCTACGCTCGCTCGCTTGGAGCTCCGCTATTAACTATGCTGTACATAAACGGAGTATCTATTTTTCAACAAGATTTACATCCAGAAATGATCTTAAGCCCGATAAGCTCCAAAATCACAGTAACGAAGGAAAAGGAAAGGAGGAGAAGAGAAAAAAGCAATGGCTGCACTCTTAGTTTTCATAATGGCTACTTTGGAGATCCATTTGGCGGTAACCTTTTCAAAAATCCGGCTAGATGAATAATATTACAATCTCGTAACTGTACAGCTAGCCTTACATCTTTACTTTTTGTTTTAAGAAAATGACTATAGATTCACAAAGATCCAGTAATTCGTTTAATACGTCTTGCTGAAAATACATAATTGTACTTTTTGGAAACAATTTCAAACGGACACTCCTTTGTAAATGTGAATCAATCTCTTTCACTCACACGGTGCTTTCATCAGTAATGAATAGTTCTGCCCCGACTTGCTAGAGTAAGCCTTTTGGAATTGCCAATGCCATGGTTCTAAATTAACGGAAGTTCCGTTAAGGCAGACTGTGAAAACCCTTAGTGGCGAGAGGTGTGACAGGATTTCCGTCACTCGAATTGAAATAAAGGAAGCAAGGATGAAAATATTCTTCCTAAGCGGAAAATATAGAAGCGGAAAATCCCAAAAATAGAATCGTTTTAAAGCCACCTACCTGCTCACGTCACTAACAAAGCTGTCAAAACATGGAATCTATATTGAAACGTCAAAGCGATTTTTGAGGTGGCGGCGAAAATTCCCCCTTAATATTTCGTATTACTTAAAGTGGTCAAAGGGAAATGTTTCTATCAATGAATGGTCTGGTCTTGCTAAAAGTTACTAACATAATTCTTAGTAGTACAAGGGTTTGTAAAAAATTCGATTGGGTTATCAAGAGGCACTTCTTGCAAAGTGGCGAATTTGACAAAGATAGCAGATCTGATTAAACATTGCGAATCTGATCGGAAACATGAAAAACCGGCGAAGATTTACCTTGAAAATATTCAAATAGGATGGCTGAATTTTCAAGATGGTGATTTCACGACAATGAAGAATCTGCCAAAAAGGGCCAATCTGGCGAAAATGGCAAATTGACAAAAATGTGCCAGGGGTATGGAGAATATTCAAATGAGATGGCAAAAGGGGACCCTTAGAAAGTGGCGATTTTGAGGAAAATATTAAAATAGTGAGATGCATGATGCAGATGAGATGCTGAGAAGGGCCCTTTACAACTATGTGGGAGGAATCAAGATGGCTTGATATTGGCCATTTTTTTCTTTTTTCTTCTACGGTGTACGGTTATGAGAATCACCAAGTTCTGGGTTGCAGTTCTTTTGACCTAAAGAGCCTTGAATATGTAGCGCCGAGAGTGAAAACTGTTGGCGAATATCCATGATCAAGTCATTAGGCCCGTTTAGAATTTCAAAGACTAAAACCCTTGCTCCCATTGCACCGTTCCTTAAAACTAGACTGCATTGACCCCTTTTTTCAATTAGTATGCTAAGTTGACTTTCGACATGATTGGCCTCTCCGTCACGCCCCATTTTTTTTTCTTTTGTTCACTTGCTCAAAGTACTCGCCTCTTTCATAAATAAGCATCATTCACCTGACAATCTACAACTCCACAATGACACCACTTCTTGCCCATTTCGTTTCCGTTACATGTTTTAATGCAAAGGGTTATAAAGTTCACTTTAATTTGAAATTTTCATTCAGCCTATTTCGCAGCGATTCTTGGCGACGACGGAAAGACGACGAGGATTACTGCTGACTTCAATAACAACAAGTTCTTGCAAGAGTTACCGAAAGGTGTATCGTCGTCTTTGTTTGATTATAGATTAAGAGGAAGAGTACGATGTTCATCCGAAAGATGCTCCTGTTTAATAAACGAATTACATCATTATGCCACCGAAACTGCGTCAAATTGATAACATAAGTAAATTGCTGCTATGATGCTGTTATTTTGCAGCGTTAGAGCTGCTTGATATATTTATTGTGATTAAGAAACCTCCTTATAACAATCTGTTAACAATCTGTGGAACATATCGAAAATATTTACAATATTCGTACACAATGAAGTTGTTTAAGCATTTCATAGGTATAACAATGGAAGGTACCCCTCCGTTACAATAAAGATATAATGTGCCCTCAGAGGACTGATCTCTACGAATATTTGGGAATGGACTGCTTGGATCCTGTTGGGGTCCGTTTCTCGAAAGTCCCGATAACTTTTCGGGCCCGAAAAGCTGTTTTATGTTTGCCATGTTTTCATTCAAGATCAAAGTTTCATTAATTTTTTAAATGATACAATGAACCTATCAATAAACGAGTCAAAATTGACCGGTTTATAAGCTAGGAACTGTACTACTATTCAACAGGTTCTGATTCGGACCCGGAAGGTTTTCGGGCCTTTCGAGAAACAGGCCCCTGGACCCTGAGCCGCCGGATACCAGCATTAAAAAAAAAAAGAAAATTAGCATTTTGCTTTATTTTGAACTTCTCCTCTTCTTGTTTCTACACTTGAGAGAATTAAACCAACAGCTTTTCGAATTACCAGAAACCCGTCACTACTGCAATGTTTTACTGAGCACTGGTTTACTGCATATCCTCAACTGCTTGTTCATTAGTTGATTTCTCTTCAAAGACCACAAGTCTTACAAGAAAATAGTCAGTACTAAAAAACTGGCCGGTCTAAGTCTTTCAAATCCCATTTAGAATGCAAATAGGAAACAAAGAGGCAACTGCAAGGGAGCATTTTAACACTTAAAGCCCCAATATCCACTTACAAATTCTCCAAACTGATCTCCATACATTTCCTTAAAGAACTGGTTGAGAGAATTTGATAAGATCAAAGCATTTTCCCTTAGGAGATCATATTATTACTTCTCATAACCTCTTCTCTTGATAATGTATGGATGTTGTTTGGAGAAAATTGATGTTGGTCACTCTTGGAACTAAAGGGGTTAATCGAGCCTGTTCAATTTTGACAGTGTCTAAAGCTGTGGCCTCCATCCAGCAATAAAACGTAAGAGCTTCAAACGATAGAACCGATCCATTCCAAATGATTCCAGAGCCTCTTCATCCAAACATACTAGCATGCTGCCATCGACTTGTCGTTCCTTGAAGATCTCTTCAAAGTGATGCATGTTCAATTTCCGAAGGCATTGCAAAACCTCAGTTACTCTTAGAGAGCTCAAATCTTCTGGTATGGTAAACTTGGACTCCGCTTTTTCCGAGACAGGTGTTTGTGGGTTTTCTCCAGACACGTGCCTTGTTTGTGCCCCTTGAAGTTGCTGAGAAGTTGCCGCGGCTTCTTTTTCGTTCCCTTTTTCAAGAAAGGATGCAGAAACTGAACGAGGCTTTGCCACAGGGGATAGAGACACCGATGGGGCTTTCCCATCTGGGCTTGATACCATCGTTGGATTCCCTTGTTCTATGCCATGGAATGAACCGGACTTCTCCCTAGAGGGTGAAACAGGTTGACCAACTCTACTGCTTGGAGCGTCAACGTCTAGCGTCGGGGAGCTCACGGGAGAAGAAATACCATCTCTTTGTTTGTTTCTTGAAGGGATTGGCGGAGGTGTATCATCTTGACTCTGACAAATTGGTAATATGCCTTCATTTACACAGGTATCTTTTTCAATTCCAGCGCTGGATGGCAATTGGCTTTTTTGGTTTCGATTCTGAATTGTAACTTTGTCACGTCTTGGGGATGGTTGTGGAAGATTTTCCTTTATTTCTTTGTTGTTAACTGGCAATACTTGGACTTTATTGGCAGTCAGACTGAGTTTTCCCTTTGTCTCTCTTGGGACTGGGCAAGGCTCCTGTAGTTTAGGAAGAGGAGGAAGTACGTCAGCACTTGATCTTCTTGGGACACGAAACGCTGGTAGGACTTTTGGCTCTGTTTCAAGATTCATTTCTTCAGAGCCATAGAAAGGCGAGTTTTTTGCCTCTAACCTTGATGACAGTGAAGGATTCGAAGAATATGACTGGTCCTCAAGAATAGAATCAAGTGCATTGACGTCAGTGCGAACACTTTCAGTTTCCCCGCCTGTTGTTCCTTTCCTCCCGAACGTGTTCATCTTCCTTGAAGGTTCGTTATAAACCAGGGACTTCCTTTGAATTTGTAATGAAACTGTTTCTACTTTTCCTTGAACGTCGTCACCTTGCAAGCTTTGAGCTTGTACCTGCAGTAAATTATTTAATTTCTGTTTCGACAGTTGTTCTGTACTCGAGTCACTTTTCCTTCTTGGCACTGATGACAATGATCTGCTTGTAAGTTTTTCTGCATTGAGATAATTAAAATTCAGATCGTCGTAAATGTTCTCGTCGCTTTCGGTGGTGTTTGTTCTAAGTTCCAGGTTGCTTAGAGTTCTTTGAAATAAACTCTTTCGCTTCCCCTGACCCAACAGACTATTGCTTCTTGCTACTTTCATAGACGGGGGTGGCGAATACGTATTTCCATGGTGTACCCTTTCTCCACTCATTTGGAACTCTGATATAGCCAGAGGCTTGTCGTTGGTCTCCTTATTTCTTTGAGGTGGCATTTTCAGACAAGGTGATTTAAAGTCGCTTTTTGCTCGATATCCTGACATGTCTTCATATTCGTCAGTAGCTTCATTGATGTCGCTATCGAATTTTGCACCGGGCGATTTAGAGCGGTCCATTTCTACAGCCATGACGCTTATGGGCAACATTATAGGGAATGACAGCTCTGTCTTCACATCTTGGTCTTCTGTAGTTGCCTTTACAAACGACTCGACTAGGGTCCCCTTCAATTTGACGACGCCAGTGGGCAAAGGTATATCTTCATCGATGCTCTCTTTTGTACTGTTATCACCAGTGAGTAAAACATGGGCTGGAAGTTTATTCTTTTTGACAAACTTGGCAAGTGGTAACCCCTCTCCATCCAACAGAGCTAGAAACTTCACTTTACAACTCATCGGCAGTTTCCAGAGCGTTTTCCCTTTATCATTAACGTTTTTGAAAGGCAAAAATGTTTCGCCAGTTTTTCTCTTTTTCTGGTCTATCTTCAACTTATCACCAACTTTGACCAACGACTCGTAATTCGGATCACTTTCAATCACACGAACGAACTTCACGCCAGAATTATGTTCATGAAGAAGTTCCGGAATCCCCAGTTGTCGCTGTTGGAATTTTTCCTCAGCCATACGTTCAACTGTACATGAGTAGTCGATCGGGATGCGAGTCTCCTGTCCATCTGCATCTTCAAGTAACACTGTTTCGACGCTTTCCAAACTTATCAACCTGTAAACCGCATCGGCACTTACTGTTGACCTCTGCTGTTTGTCATAATAGCCTTCATACACCTTCACCACTTGAGGAAGAGGGAACTTCTCGATAAAATCCCTCAAATAAAGAGAAGTGTCTGCAGGCGTTGGCGAAACAAAGTCCGACATTACTTTAATTTCTTAATTTCTTGACATTACCCGAGAAACGTCTTAGCCGGTGAAGTTCTGCTAAGGACACAATTCAGAGGCAGAAAACTATGGCATATGAAGTTGTTTCTCCACAAGAAACTTCCTCTTGAAACAAACCTTGTGTCTTGTCAACTTTATGATGAGCCGTCAAATTCCCTCGCCAAGGAATAACTTCCCACATGTGGAATCGATGACACTGCTGTAGTTTCGTATGTCAGTTGACTGTCGTTTTCTAAAAACGTTTTAATCACCTTACGTATTTATTTTGTTGACAAAATATTGCATGACAGTTTCGCCTAATTTAAACCTCGAAAGTGAATTGTAATGATGACATGTGTTCCTTCAACTTCTTTCGTGTTTGATAGAACCCTTGTCATTTCTTCAGGTTGGTAAGTTAAAGGCCCTTATGGTGTCAACAAAGATTAAATAATATTAAATAGACGAAGAATCTGCAAAAGGGCGTTAATGTTTCGTTGATGACCAGCCTCTTTCATCAGTTCACAGTATCGTTCACTTTAGAAGAGTCAGAAACATTATTATCATTAATCATTTTTCTCATTTTAATTCTAAAGACAAATGAAGACGTCATTGACAAATAATATTTACTTCAGAAAGCGAAGGAGAATCTACATATAAATAGGAAGGTCAGTTCGTCAGCGAGTACACTAAATTGAGGCATAACTTTCGATTTTCATGAGTTCATCATAGGGGTACATGTACTTGAGTGCACTTTAAAGCTCATGCGTGGAAAGTTCTCTCAGGACGGTAGGGTCTTTTTCGCTTTTTATAAGAAATCGTTAAGATTTGCTCTTTTATAAGCAGTGGAAACTTAGTTTGATATGGTCAGTAAGCTAAAACATGACTATAATACTGCTTAGCCTGCTCACAGACCCTCTATTTTCTCCGAGCGAGAGTGATAAAAATAAAAACAACGGGGAATTAAATGACCCCTTGAGCGCAGCGCGCTCGCTCTAGAGAGCTCCCCGATTATCGAACAGCCACATAAAGAAAGCAACATCTGTGTACAGGCTAAATACTGCTCGGATACCATCCTTTCTGCTCATCACTTCCTTAAATAGTTTTGTGCTATTGCAATTGGCAAACCCGTGTAACTTCCAAAGTTAGTGGAAGGCTCACAGCTTCATCGGAACGATAATACCTCGCTTCTGGACATACACAATCGAAGAATACTAAAGATCTTTCACGAATTAATGCTTTTGAACTGAAATAACTCTGTGGATTGCAGTGTAGAAAGGTTCAGCCTTTTTTTCTATAATAACATTATTGATTGTTCACTAAAGAAATAAACAACCTGATATTCCGCTACAATCTTTTTAACTAAGAAAAGAGAATAATGCCTCGTTAGGGTCATTGAGGGCAGAAACAATGTATTTTGGATAAAACTGATAATCTCCATTGTTTTGGAAAACAACAGAAATACTAAGACAGGTTAGTATGGGTCTCCTGGACAAAATTAAATAGAAAAGCAAATACCCTTTAAGTCCTTCTGAAATGAAGGATGAACCGCGCGAAGGCCAAAAAAGCGCCATTTTCCCTATACCTTGGTTCGGAGGGCTGTCAGAATAATCTTAATTCTCGATCTATATTGTACAAGATTGTATCTCAAGGAGGACTGGGTGACTGTTTGCTTTGGATAGAGTTGGTAGCACAAATTAATCATAATGCATGTTTAAATCATTTGTTTTAAAATTGGAGCGTGCCACAAAAAAGGACAAGCAGCCATTAGCATTTTCTTCTTGATCGATACTCTCGGAAGGAAATCATGGACTGGTGGGTCATGCTTTCGAAAGTTGTATAAACAAACTAATGTGCCAGGGCTGAACTGAGCCGACTTGTCAGATGGCAACTTTTTGAGACAATAGCGCAATAATACCCGAACAGGCTTCAGTTGAAAATACCCGTCATTCGCTGATGCTCGTCTGTTTTGGCTCAGAAAACGAAAAAGATGAAGCTTGTCTTTCTTATTTCTTTACAAGTATGCAACGATTCAGTACAGATTTCTCCAGTCACAGCTCTTGCCAACCTCTTCTTCGAATTCATGCTGGAGAAATGTCATCCACATGTCAATAACATCTTACCAGATGATTTGCACCGAATTGTTTTCAGCTGATTCGGTAGTGCGGTGTTTTTTGTTGTGCAAATTATAATGAATCGGTGTCTCAATAATTTCAAATATTTCGCTTTAATCTAAGCAGAGATTCTCAGTGGAGGGAGATATTCTTTTCCGATCCCGGCTTTTCGTGTTTCTCTTGCGCTTCTACAATTAACTTACAAGTGCGCTCGGCGCGTTTATTATTTATTAAATAAACAATCATGAACTTGCATACCCTCTGGTAATCACATCTAACTAGAATTTCATTACTGCGCTTGAAGTTAAGGTGATGTTACACGGGACGATTCGCAACGACGATTTTTAGTGCAACACAGCGTTGCAATGTTGGAACAATGTTGTAACTATTCGAAACCCTGTCGCAACAATGTTGCAACGCTTCGTTGAGCTAAAAATCGTCGTTGTGAATTGTATCGTTTAACATTACCTTAAGTCGTTGTTGTTCAACTATAAAACCAAAACTCGTGTCGAATGGCCTAGTTAGAATGGCTGCAGTTTTTTAAGATCTGAGGTTCGTGAATACACCTGGCGACGTAAACTGATAAACTGCTGATTAATTCGAATTCTTAAGAAAAATTATACGGGTAGGTTATTTTAAACCGATGTGTTTTATTGCCTGGTGACGAGCTGACCATCTTTGCACAATTTTTTATCACACTATTAAAGACAAAGGGAAACACAGCAAGCTGTACTGCAGATGAGCGTTTTTAGAGTCATTTTCCCTAAATCACTACTTTCACGGCGTAGACCATAATACACCTTTTTTACCCCCAGAATTTTGCATAACCATTGTTTTCAGTTTCTGCTGGGTATTACAGTCGTCCCAATAGAAATCCAAGACAATGGTTATACAGAATTTTGGGAGGGGTTAACACGGTGCATTATGTGAAAATGGTGAATCCGTTATTTTACGTAGTTGATGAACGGCAGCATAATGAGTTTCACTTTCCATATAAATTGATCAAGGTCTAACCTGACCTGATTGTCAACATATAAATGTAATGCTTTCTTAAATACGTTACTGGGCTTTAATTCTTTTAAATCGTTTGGTAAACTATCCCACATTATAGCATCTCTGCATTAAGGAGAAAGTTTTTCATAATTCTTCCTTTTAGTTAGTTTCAAATCAATGTGTATTTTTGAAGCTGAACTTTTATATAGGACTGTATATTATTGTTTACTACAAAGAAGTCATTAAATGTTTCAGGATACCAACATATTTTAATGATAATGAAAAATCGTTAAGGAGAGTCCCCAAAATTGCCGCAAAACGTTATAAAAGGAAAAATTCCAAAAAAATTTTTTTCCGGAATACATAGTATATAGTATTGGCTGTGCCGGGCAAACCAAATGACAAGATATATACCCGACAAACGGAAATTAAAAATAGGAGTGTGTCCATCAAAATAGTGAAACATTTTAATTTGTCACATTAATCGACAACACCGGATTTCTGGAGTTGTAAACAAAGCCCTAAATATGTGGTCAGTATTTCTAATGTATTTAATGATAGGAAACAGAAAGTCGATCATTTGATCAAGAAAAATAGTATTTTCCTGTGTAAACATAGGTGATGTTTAAAATATGAAGAATTGTTAGGGCCATTACGATATTGAAACATATTTATCGAAGCCTAAGATGAAAGCAACTAATTCGCTTTAACACGCGTAAGCTCAATAACAATCACCTTCTTTCAGTCCTGTGACCAGTTACAGAGGAGAAAAGGAAAATGGGAACTTAGTTGCTGTGATGAGTAGTTACATTAAATTTCACGACCTTAGTTCCGTTTTTTCTATTCTGTCAAGTTTTCTGATTACTTACACTTTATGAGGACACTCGAAATATGAAACATTCCTATTTCTAAAAAAGAAAACACTGCGGTAAAAACACCTCATACCGAAAGTTCTGGACAAAAACAAAACGACGAAATTGCATTATGACCATTGATTAACTGTCACTGAGTTTTGCGGTTTGCTGAAACATCTCGCGTTTAACTTAGTGAAATCTGAACAAACTATTTGGGCTGAATTTCAGGATCAATGATGGGATAAGATCCAGGTAGTTAAAGAAGTTGAGGTCAATATTTTATTCCCGGGCCAGCTGAAACGCTGCCCGGATTTTGCCGTATGGATTGCTCGGCCGTGCTGTGGCAGTAAAGCACTCATATCAACCTCTACACCCGAATTAACCACTATTTGGTTGAACAAAATAACATTTATTTGTTTACCGTTTGTCATAAACTCAAGTACAATATACCCAAACGTTGCAACTGGTGGGCAACAAATATTGAATAATGTATGGAAATGTTCCGAGGGGACACTGGCAGGAACAGCAATGAAGGGCTCTTTCCCGTCGATCACAAGTTAAAACTTGAAAAAAAAAACAAACAAACAAACGAAGGCAGCAACATTTGTTGACTAAATGTTGGACCGTGTGTAACTGGGTACAGTATACATAGCATTTTATAACTGAGACCTTTAAAATTGTGGCAACAAGAATTCCATCACATTACATTTTCCTTGTTACATGACGATTTTTTTTGTCTTTGATCAGTTCCTTGGTGACGTTTGCGTGAATTCGAATATCTCATTTCAGCCTCAAAACAGGAAAAAGAATAAAAATCTTCAGTGGCCGACCTAAAGAAATGATAAACAAAATGTTTTGAGTTGTAAGACATGATACTACCGAAGAGTATTCATTCTAAGAGAACAAACTCGATCAAAACAGATTACTTACATTTCACCCTCAAGTGAAACAATAGTGCTGTTATTAGAGAGTAGGTTCGATATCAGAGCCGATATTCAAAATCCCCGCGTTCCGCGGACAATATTATGCTGGCTGGGAAATATCGTACGGTAAGGAAAATTTGCTGGCAATTGGTTAGAAATGACAGCTTGTTGATGGAAGTTTTTGCCGAAACTATAGTTTAAAAATTGGCGACGGGCAACACACGACTCTTGCACTTAGTCGTAAAGGAAGTTATCTGACCTTTAGAGCTTCGCTCTAACTAATAGGCCCTTAAGGGATTTTCCCTTGCGATGTGATATGAAGGGAGGCTCCTTATAAAGATTTATCTTAGTCGTTTGTGGTTTTGTATAGGATGCGATTTCCTTACTATAGTATTTTCTTAAGGCTAAACTCGGGTGGTATTGTGTAACAAAAGGTAGTTTCCTGGGGCACTGACCAATAATCCTCATCTTTAAGTTAATTTTGGCGAAACTATTTACAAAATGGTCTCTTCACACAAGATAAGAGTTAGAATGCAATGTTAATTACAGGATAAACTTGAAGTGTTATTTTAAGCTACGAAAATAGTGTTTTCTGCATATCAGTATCCAAATAACCTTACGATCATATTGTTGGAAGTGCATTTGCTCTCTCAAGGAATATTTGCCAGTATTAATTCACACTTCATTCGAGTGACTATTCAAGATATATTAATAATCTCAATAGAAGGACTAGAGCGAGAGTACCAGAAGTACAATGTTCTATCAACTGAAGATTTGACTAGTACCAAACTATATAGTAATAAAATGCCTACACGATTACGAATCCATAGATCAGAGTAACAAAATGCCTAGTCAAATCTTCAGTTGATAAAACATTGTACTTCTGGTATTTATATTATATATACTATTTACAATAAAACAACAAGTCTATATATATTCGTCGGTCGTTTGTGAGGACCTAAATTTAAGTTTTCAAAAACTCTCTCTGTCAGCCTTTAATGCTCATGAAAACGTAGAGCTGAATATGTTTTATATATTTTCTTTCCGCAAAAACGCTTCCGCCTTCGCGGGAGGCTCAAGATTTGAGGAATTACTCTAAACTGAAAATCTGGCAACCGACTCAAATTATTATTAAAAACTATAATAACAGAAATAAATGTTAATATAGGAGTTCAAATGCTCACAATCAGAAAATGCAGCAAAATATATCAGCAAAACAAATCATCTTAATTTCGCTTCGGAGTCCAACCGCGCTGAATGAACATGAGGAGTTTCTTTCTGTGAAGAGCGTTGTTAATTCCAATACACTGCATCATTTCGTCATCCATCTCCAGTAACATTGTCCCATCTACGACCTCTTTAACGAATAATTTCACATACTGATTTAATCCCAGCTTTATCAACCACTCGCTGACCTCAGATACTGATAGGTTTTGCAAAATTTTTCGAAATTCTGCTGCAGGGTCGTCTTGTTGTTGTGAAGCTATGTGATGGGGACTGGCTTTGGCGAGCGTGTCTCCGCTGACTGGACCTGACTGCTGCTTTGACAAAACTTCGGATATCGTGTCATATGTATCTTCGCGACCCTCTTGCTCTTCTAGATTCGCATTCATTTTAGTATCTACCTTCTCCAGTAGTCTTGCCATGAATTCTTTTCCGTGTCTTTGAACTGCCATCTTTTCAGCACCGGGAGCCTTTGGGCTTCCTGCTTCATGCCTTGGTGCACTATCGGGTTCTCGCCCAGACTGTGAAACACATTGACCAGGAGTGTTTCTCTTAGCAGTAATAGTTTCTGGCCGCGGTGGCTTTAGCGAGGTGGGCTGCATAGGCTTTTTTGCAGCTGGAGGAGGAGGAGCAGCCAGCATGATGTTGCCATGCGTTTGAACGGCTGGCGCAGAGGGCTTCCCCAACAGTTTTGGCTTGGGAGGTGGAGCATAGCGAGCTTCAGCCTTTTTGTTGTTTATACCATTTCGCTTCGAGGGCAACCCACCTGATAATGAAGTTGGAGGCGGCGTTCGAGGTGGAAGAAGCGGCCGTAATTCTTCATAGAGTTCGTTGTTATCACTTTCCAGCTTTCCGTACAAGTCATCGCTGATGTTGTCAAAGTACCAAGACGCGTCTCCAGTGCTGCCGCATGTGATTGTAGAATTTATATTAACTTCACTTTCGATTAAATGACAAATTTGGGAGAATACGTTTGGGCGAATATTTAACTTCGCTCTTTTAACCGTTATTTCTAGGTCGATTGGCATCTTCAAAATTCGCAACTGTTTCTCCACCAAGGTTGAAACAATTAGAATTTTTTGCTTCACTGCTTGCTCCAGAACAAACAATCCTTCGAACGGCACAAGCGGATTTGTATTACATTCATTGAACGCTTTAGCTTTGCCTGTTAAGACTCGTACCCTGGTTGGAAGGGGAGTTTGAGTTAGTACATCTTTAATGCATATTGGAGAAGCATTTCGGAGAGTCTCAAAAGGTCCCAACTGGTTACTGGAAAGAAGTATAGTGCGAGTGCTTCCCATCACTCTGCACTTAATTTGCTTGTGACCTCGGCCGTTCTGCGATGCTTCTAGGAGTTCAATTATGCCTCCAACAGCCACATCACTTTTTGGTATATCTCGTAGCGATCGAACATACTTTGGAAAGGGAACCAGAAGCTCTTCGACCGTTTCGTATCGGTCAGCGCATCCCATTGGAATAATCTCGAATATTTTGCCAGTATAAGTCAAAGGGATCGAAAAGTGATTTCCATTCACATCTCGGGCTATGATTCGAGACTCTTCCTTTAAAGTATGCAAGTTAACAATATCGTCTTGACACCACGATAATTGCTCTGAATCAAGAGATTCGTACCCGTCGACAACCTTTATAGTTTCAGGAAGACGGCAGTCTACCACGAAATTGCAGAGCCAGTTGGAATCGTTCAGATCGTTCATGTTTACCGTACTACGTGTTCACTCCGAGTTTCACTGCTCAGCTTATGACAGTATCACCAAGACACTTAGACGAGCGCAATTTATGTATAATAGCTTGAGGTCAGTCAAGCTAAAAAAAGAAATTTTAGAGGGGGTGGCGTTAGTCTTAATTACTGACCTAACAAGGTATTTAAGCAGGCTAATAAAACCCCCAAAAGCTTGAAACATTTCCTTGTTGAGTTCTATCCAAAAATAATGTTTCTCTAGGGAAAAAATTATTTTTGAATGTCACAAACATTTTTAAATCTGCCTGATTTTGTTGCATTTCCGCATGCACTTTCTTACCCCACTCATGTTGCTCAAACAATCGACAACATGTAAATTCCTGAATGATGCCAGCCAAACTAGTCACGACTTGTCCAAATTGAAATATATATGGTTTTAGCCGATTCATATTCTTAAGAAAGTTTAAAAGGGGAACTGATCACGGTTCAGTTGAATTGAGTGGGTAATTCGAAAAGGAATTCTAGGCTCTCTAAACCGCACTCGTTATCATGATTTTATATCGATTTGAAGCGCCGTCACAGTCAGATTTTATGCAGTGCCTTTATCATATAGCTAAAAATTTGACGATAAACAATATTAGAATTCATTCATTTCACTACACACGCTGATTTGAATGAAGACAAAAACGAATGGAACCACCGATCGATTGAGAGGCAGATTTTATTGATAAACGTCACGCTTTCATTTCTCTTTGCCATGCGCATGAGCGGTAGCAGTCGTAAAAACAAAGACGATTTAAGGGACGAACCAGGATGAAAATATATTTTACACTATTTAACTGTTGATTAACGGCTCTCGAAGAACACACTTGGATTCTGAAGTGACGAAGCTGTTGATCGATTCAGTCATTGTCAGCTCTATCAAAACAACTCCCGTTATGGTCTGCTAAGTTAGCGACTAATTCACCACAATTCAGCTCTTCCGTCTTCCAAATTGTGTACAGTGTTGATCACGCTGTCGATTTAACAAGCGCATGATGTTTGATGACATCACCTGGAGCACAACATCTTACTCCTTAAAGGGGTTTATCGACTATTTTTCTCTTCCGCAGTTGGTTAAAGTCGAACATGGACTATACAGTGAAGAAGAAGCTAATACGCTTTCAGCAGAGCAGATTCTCACTTTGCACTACACCAAAAGAACCGACAAGGTGTTTACAAAAGCCGCGGATAGGAAACCTTTCTACATTCCCATAAATTTTCCGGGCAAGGTGGAAATACTTCCCACATTCTGCCAGGACATGTACTACAGTGTGCAAGACATTGTCAACGAACCCTCTATTAAGTTTATTAAAGCTGTGCACGACAGTCCACCGTCGTTCGGGTTAAAAGCGGGCGACATTTTAAAACTGGTAAAAACCGTCGAGGAATATCGCGAAAAATATGTTCTTTGCGAGTTTTCCAATAAAACGAGGGACCTTGTGAAGCTTCCTCTGAGCTTCAAAGCTGCCTTCGTTCCTTTAGCGAAAGCAGAAACATTTCATTTGCAAGAGGTCCTAAACTCCCAGTCCGCATTTAAGCTTCCAGTTCGTGTGAAATTCAGCTGTTGTGAAACCCTGATACACGATGTAAACAAAGACATTGATTTACTGTCTTTTGGTTCCGTTCTCTTGAAAGAAAAACTTGAAGAGTCAACAATCATTGCTACGAGTCGATGGGACAATACTGTCACGGTTGTAATGATTCCTACTGATTTAGATGTAACGGTACACCCTGCAGAAGGAGCTATAAGTGGCGATAACACGTACGCTAGATTCTGCAGAGAAATCCACGACGGCGCTGACCTGGAAAAGGTGGAATTATCTCTATCAAACTACCTGAGAGTAGAAGAGAAGCCCAATGTTGATGTGCTGTACGATTATGTGGAAGTAAGACCTCAACTTCCTCCTCGAGGTTCCACTAGTTCTCTATTGGAAGTTAACGATGATTCGTCGGATGATTATTTGGACATTCCTCCACCGCGACCTCCAAAACCAGAGTATCTGCATTCGCCACCATTATCGCCAACGCACGCACCATCGCAGCTGCAACAGCATGGAGACAGAGAGTCTTTTGAGAACATGCCCAGTGATGGACATGACGAATGTCCACCTCCTCCTGTTCGAACTGCATCACTTCAGCCAAGAAATGATAACCACTTGGAAGGTTACAAACATGACGATAACCAACCAGACTCAGCAGAAGAAGACTACCTATATCCCGAGGAGTTTGACATGGAACGTGAAACGCCTCAGACGCTTCCTAAAGCACCACCGCCAACACTCCCAAAGCCACCAGGACATCGTAGGCGTCAAGCTCACCAGTATTTTCCTTCTCTTGGTGATGGTGATGATAATGACGATGATGATTATGATGAAGAAGATTACCTGAACACTGAAGACAGTGATTTTGATGATTCCAGTGAAGAACACGATTACTTATACCCGGAATACCCTGTGTATCAAAATAGTGAAGTAACTTCCACGGCGATGAAACCTCAGCCGAGACACGGTCAGAGTAAAGGAACCTGGCTCTCAAAATTCTTCCGGAAGACTACTTCCAAGTCATCCAAAATGACCTGTTCCTCTTCGAGTTCAGCCACTTACAGTACAAACCAGGATTATTCTTCATCTGATTTCCCTGATGATCTCAGCAGTATGTCTGTAGCAGAATTGGGTGAATGCCTGAGAAAGCTCAACTTAGAGAAGCATGTTGACATCTTCTCTAGCAACCAGATAGATGGAAAGTTGTTTTTGACATTTGATAAAGAACTGTTATCATCACTTGGAGTCGATAATGTCTTTGAGCAGGCAAAATTGATGAACTTTATAAATGGATGGAGACCCAGAACATGAACAAAAAATGTTTTTGATTGCTTGTGTAGGTAAGCTATAATCTGATGTTCAATTTTGCTGCGAAAAAAAGTCCAGGTTTTAATTTGATGCTCCGCAAAAATCGGTTAATTTAGCTGCAGTTCATATAACGCATTGTCCCCCCAAAGTTTTTGGAGCATTGTTTGAAGAGCAAAGGTGGGAATTGAAACTTTCAGGAAAAACGTTTGAACTTTCAAGTTTATGATTTTGCTTATGTTTGGTTTTCTGTTCATACAAAACCGTGTCAATAACTATTTCATTGATAAAAGCCTTTTCAAAATTACCCAGTTGAAAGATTGGCTTCTTGCTGAAGCTAGTAACTTTATGGACGATCATATATAGTGGGTAGTTATAGGCGTTCTTTCTTAATCCTTGCAAGAAATCCTAATATCATTGTACAACTGTTCTCCATAAAGTTGCTGTTGTACTGATTCACGAGGGGAAAAGTGTTTAACAGTCAAGTTTTAAATTTAAAACAGTAGAAAAAAATTAAGAAAGACAACAAAAATAAAGTGGTTTCCAGATATTATATTTGCAACACAAACCTTCAACGGGGGCTATGAAAGAAAAGTGAATACAGATAAAGGATGAACGTTACATATGCGAGATAAACAGAAAATGATAGGCTACTAAAAAGATAAATGTCACTGGTTTGTCGTTGTGGTCTTGCCTTCACAAGTGTTTCTGATACAATTTTTTACCCGTCAAGGCCTTTTTCACTTGGCGATCATTTTCTTTATTCTCATGACCCTTGGAGTACACAGTGAAATTTTATGGAGAATGTTGACTGCTCTAAGAGATTTTGGGTTGAACAGAATTCCCCACTCCATAAAATGTAAGAGGAATGGGTACGAGCTTCCGGCTCAACGACTTCTAGGATCGTTCTAGTTCTTAATGGTTGCCTTGGATACCATTGACCAATCATAACTAACTATTCCTCCACTCAAACCTTCCCAGAAATTAGTGCACCCAAGTAGGGGCCCCAACTACTGTTTTCTGTAAAATATCTTTTCGGAGAAGCTAATATTGCCTAGAATTTTCTATAACTTGAGGAAGGCTAAAAATTTCTGATGACCCTTCCATTCATGTACAATTTTTGAAACCTATGTAATAAATTCCCTACGATTTTCTGAAGTTAATTTTTTCAGATTTCATTGCCCAGGTTAGGAATTTTTTCGTAGAAAAAAGGAAACCTAAAATTTTTCGGATCCAAAAATGTGATGGAGAGAGGAATCAGAAAAATTCTCATTACAACTAAAATTTTTGGGAAAATAATACTGAAGCCCTTGTAGGTTCGAAAGACTCAAGTTCCCCTAGGATGACAAAAAAAAGCACATTTTATAGCGCCGTTTATAATGCATTTTTAGAGATCTAAAAGTACTCTGGATAGCCTAAAAAGTGTTTTTTTGTGTATTTGGGAGGAAACCATCATTGGGTGTTTCTTGAAATTAAATTGTTATGAACTTGTATCTAACTGGGAGCAACCTCTCAAATTTTGGTGAGGGCAAAAATAAGTTACCATAATTATAACTAGAAGACAAATTTTTGATGTAGGTTCTTAATACTTGGGGAATATTTCTATTTCATGAGATTTTGTGGGCAAAATTCCACCCTCACACAGCATGATTCGATACCATCCAATAGTAACTTCCGGTCATTGGGTTGTCAGCTTCACGTGTCAAAAAGCTCACCTAAAATAAATCTCACTTAACGGTCGGGCCGAGCTCCGGTGGTTGTGTTGCTACGATTTCGCTTTTTTCTGAAACCTTCAATGAGGAGTTTTCGAATACTTGTAATGTAAAACCTGCCGTTTATGAGGAGTTATAACAGGGTTTAGGAATTGTGCTAGTGTAAGATCGCCAACGCTCTGTTTGTAAACAAACGTGTGCCCGGAAAATTGTAAATTGCTTTTGTTTACAGGGTTAAATCAGGCGCTTGTCTGGCAGCTAAAAAGCTGGTGTTATCCCTCGTATTCTCGGGTGGTTGAAAGGAGCTGTTAGAATATATAGGAAGGTGCGATAGTGACACACCTATGCCTAGAAATTATCAAGCGGCAGCAGATTCCACCACTTCACAGAGAGCTCGTGAAAGCTGTTACTAGTTCAAAACAAGTGAGAGCCTATAGCAAAGGTCAATCCCGTTGGCGAAATATGATGGCGCCCGCTTGAGCTTAAGACATTTCAAAAGTGAGAAGATTTTGGAAGAGGAAGCGAACGAATTCCAATCACGTACGTTATCGTAACCGCAACAAACAAAGTCAAGCTTTTTAAAAGCATTGGTGCTGTCGGCTATATCCCCGCGGCTACATGGCTACCTCGCTCTATTTTCATTTACAGTAACAATACCCTTTTAACGGCAGGATGTTGTAAATCTGAACTTAGATATCTGAAACACTGATCTCGTCTTCTTTGTCCCGGTCTTGTGAAACCAATACTTGGACATAGTTTCGGCCGAAGATGGTATATGAGGCTTTTCCTTACTTCGAGTACATGTTTCCTTTAAACTACGAGGCCTTGAAAACACAATTCTTGCTCGGGTTTTATTTTTATTCCAGGAAAGAACTTGAGAGCGCCCTCTAGAGCCTTTTTGAATTCCTCTCTGCGTCTCTGTCCGTAAAAGCATCACATACCGGTAACATGAAATCAAAACATCTATGAAAAATTTCAATGACCGTCTCCTTGCCGATCGCTCTTGCGGTCGGTGACGTCAGGGGGTATTGTGTGTTATCCAATCACTGCCACATCCAGATTTTGGATGTGTCACACGATTTGCTGAATGGTTTTGTGTCAGGCCTTCCTTTCTCTTCTCCCCCTCCCCCCTCCCCCATCTAAAATCTCCTCTCCCCTAGCCCCGTCGGAAGGCCTGATACTCAGGCTAAGAATTCGAAACGAACGTTTCAAAACAATTTTCTTAATAGGTTATCCCTTGAGCAATGTTAATAGTTCCATCATAGTTTGAAACTTAAAATCATTCAGTTTTTATTATTGTAAGTTCATTCAGGGTTTTTAACAATTTTGTAAACATGATGTGCAATTAGCATGTATCTTTGCCGATTTTGATATTTTTACAATATTTGAGTAGATTCAACTATGTCTCTGAGTTATGTGAACAGTATAAGTTGTGTATGGCTACTGTTATTGTGTGGCTACGGTGTTAAGGTGTGTACTGCTTCACTGACCTAACGTCTTTGGTTACGCCTAGAACTCCATTTTCATCATAATCACCTTTTAAATGTTGCTCTATAACATAAATGCTCAGAGCAGTGCAGTCTCACTGCATTGATTGATATACAATTCTTACGTTTATACTACTACAGGAGAAATAGCTGCAATTTGATTGGCTTAGAGCAGTGGTATTTCAGCTTAATTTGAAATACCTAGATGTGAAAATTACAAAACCTTTGCGGGTAGTAGTATAAACAAATAATAGCATGAATGTACGTGATATTTGGCATAAATACCACTCGTAATATTTCAAAATTGTCTCAAATTTCACCCGCCTAACGGCTCGTGAAATTATGTATAACAATTTCGAAATATCACTCGTGGTATTTATGACAAATATCACTACAAATCATACTATTACCTATACTAACAATTATCAAAATATTTGATATTGTTGGCCTGAGGAAACAGCCGACATTTCGAGACGCCACCACTGTTTCTCCCGCGAAATGACGCCTGAGGTACGAGCGCAGAAATTTCTTACTCTTGGCATGTCCCTACCCAGATCTGGGTAGTACTTCTGATTGGTCGTGCCACAAGGAAATTTGACTCAACCAATCGAAAGCACCACTGAGATCTGGGAAACCAGTGGTGACGTCGCGAAATATCGGCCATTTCTCAGCGTAGATATTGATGGAGAAGATTAAAACTTAGTATTATTAGCTATGCTGATCAGTCAAATCAGTTGTTGAACACCTTGTTGGACTTGGGTAAAGTTTAATTTAGTTTTGAGAAACTTTTGAACGCGGTTATTGCTGCTAATAAAAGCTGGGTAATGTCGGACCAACTTGTATTTCTAAATCCCCGGGGTTGTATACACCCAATTGCAAAACCGTTGTCATAGAAAAATAAAAAAAGGAACAAGCCAAATAGAAATTAATTAGGCCTGCAGTAAGCCTAATGAATTCATTTGCAGCATCCGCACACGGACGTCATATTTGCCTGTTGGAATTTGCTATTGTTTTAAGCTGAAAAACAATAAAAAAAAATTTCCAGCTGGGAAGAGCAACGGCTGCGAATGAATCCACCCTGAGAAAGTGGCTTAATTAGCCTATAATACTTGATTCCTATTTGGCTTTTTCCTTTTTTCTTTTTTCTAAGACAACGCAATTAGGTGTATACAGCTACTTCGAGAAAGGTTGTCGATACATTGTTCCTGATTCCTGATTCTGTAGCTGTCAAACCTACTTTTGTTGCTTTTCTTTAGCACTCGCAAACATACGTCCATGACCTCTCGTGCCATTCTTTCAAATTTCTTTGAAGAAAAGTGAACTCAAACCGACCCACAATACCTTTCGGGATGGTCGCGTGCACTTTCTCCGACAACCTTTCTCGCAATAGCTGTATACATATTGTCATCAGTTCGACAATCAGTCACGTATTCTAATCAATTCTTATTTCAGAAAGCAGCCCTTAAGTTTCTCGAATTGTGCATGCTTTTATGAAAACTTACAAAGTATCTTTCGCTTCAATAGCGTCACCCACCAACGTAAGAAAATGCACTGGCGAGCACTGCAGAAACATTTTTTAGTATATACCCAAATTTATGAGTAATAATAATGATATTTATTTGTGTGTCATAGTACTTAAGAATGCCTGCTAAATGGAGACACAGTATCAAAGCAAAAACAGTAAATATTAAATAAATAGTAAGATATCAAAATACCAATACTATTCTATTAAAATAAGTGTGTGGTGTAATTTGTCAGCGTTGAAAGTTTTCTTGTTAATAACTTCTCTAGCTACCAACAAGGCTCC